TGATGGCTGAATGAACCTTAGAGTGAGTTATAAATCAGCAGTAAATGTTTAGATGAAACCAAGGCTTTAAATGATGCAAAGCCATATTTCCTCTAATTTTCTTTTGAACCTGTATATTTCAATACGCAGCACCTTTACATTATTGTGCAATTAGAGTCGTAAAGGTTTTAAACAGCTCTGAAAAGGTCCTTCACATCGGTCACCAAGCATCTGTCTGTTCTAATTCTGTTTTCCAGCATTTGGCCCTTAGCTTTGTATGTTGTGCCATTTCAAGTTCTCATCTAAACATTTCTTAACTCACTCTCTCTCTCCCACCTCTAACGCTGGTTTAGGCAGTGAGTTCCTGGCACTGTCCACCTTCTGGGTGAAAGGAAATTTCCTTAAATCCCCTCTAAACCTCCTGCTCCCTACCTTACAACTGTGCCCCATGTCTCTTCACCCCTCTACAAAGGGGAAACACTTCTCCCAATGACCCCCCCACTCAACTTTATACGCCTTAATTAGGATCGGCCCTCAGCCCTCTCTGTATTAAGAGTCTCTTGCCTCTCGCCGGCCTCGGCAGAGAAGGTAAGACCATAAGGTGTTGGAGCAGATGGAGACCAATCAGTCCATTGAGTCTGCTTCATCATTCAATAAAGTAATCGCCGACCTGATCATCCTCAACTCCACTTCCCTGCCTTTTCTCCATAACCCATAACTAATGGCTTCGATTTACCTGGAGGGAAACGGAGGAACTGGTGAGCCTCTGAGGCAATCCTGGTGCCGCGGGGAAGCAGTCCCAGAACGGAGGGCGGTGAGGGAAATCGAGTCCCGGGTCAGAGGATGACGAGGGGGAATCCCGGGGCGGAGGTCAGCAAAGGGAAGCAGTCCTGAAGTAGAGGCTGGTGAGGGGAAGCGAGTCCTGGAGAAAACTTACCTTGGAGCAGCTGAGAGCTGGTGCAGAGCAGGACGGTGGTTGGACTGGGGTCTGGCGCGGCCGGTCAGACCATGTTGGGAAGCCCCTGTGCTCAGCTACTGCAATGTAACGTTTATGCGTAATTTGTGTGTCTGACTGTAATGTCTATCCTTTTAACTAGGTCATATTTCTGTAAAGTGATGCAAGTACTTATCTTTTTTATTTCTCTATTTATCTAAGATCTGTACCCAGGTACTTGCATCTAAGATGGCGCCATAAGAGGCGACATTGTAAAATTTTTTACTGTACTCCTGTACTTGAGTACACGTGACAATAAGGATATTCTAATTGTGATAACCCTTGATTGCCTTACTGATTAAAAATCGGTCTCACTCAGCCTCAGATGTACTTAATAACCCAGCCTCGACAGCCTGCTGTGATAAAGAATTCCACAGATTCACCACCCTCTGAGAGAAGAAATATCTCCCTATCTCAGTCATGAATGTACAACTCCTTATTCTGAGGTTGTCTCTTTTGGCCCTCGACTCTCCCATAAGGGGAAACAACCTTTCCACATCTTACGAGGCTGTCAAGCATCAAAGCTTTCTTGTTAGTTTCAATAACATCTCCCCTCATTCTAAATTCCTGTGAGTACAGCAGGGCCAACCTGCACACCCTCTTCATGTAAGACACACCTGGGATCAACCTAATGAATCCTACCTGGACAGTCTCCAATGCCAGCATGTCTTACAGAGAGGCTGTCTACTGCACTGCAAGTGTTGGAGTGAGCGATGGCAATGGGTGTTTGGCTTGGGCTGGGCCTAGTTGGGCCACCACCAAATCCCCACCCCCAACCCCACCCTCACCAAACACACACATACACTTTCTCTCCCCTCCCCGGCACGTGCGCGCACACACACACCCTCCCCCCATCTCTCTCCCTCCCCCGCTCACACATACAGTCTCTCCCCCACACACGTACACTCTTCCCCCCGCTTCCTCTCTCTCTCACACACACACACACATGAATCTACGGTGTGAATTTGTATTTGCAGATACATTCTATATTGTTCAAAAAGCACACAATTTATAGACAGTCAGTCAATGTGGCGTTTTATAAATTCCTACTTTAGAAATAAAACCAGTCTGACTCCTAACCAAAATACAAACAGATTCTAAACAATGTCTCACATCTAACAGACTTTGTCTGGCCTAAAATGTCACTTCTTCTTTACACTGACAAAACCTTTAGTTCTCTCAGGACAGTGACTTGAAAGGAATTCGAGGATTTACATATGCACATTAATCAAGTAAAACCTTATAACTGATTAAAGATTTAACAGCATCTTAAGTTTGTTTAATACATCTTCATCAGTGGTGTGACCCTTTGATCTTTTACTTATAAATTCTGTGTCTGATACTACCTCTCTCACTAACACCTGAAGGAGGAATGAGGCTCCGAAAGCTTGTGTTTTCAAATAAACCTGTTGGACTATAACCTGGAGTTCTTACCTGGTAAAAACTGAAAGAACTGCAGGTGCTACAAATCAGAAACAAAAACAGAAATTGCTGGAAGAGCTCAGCAGGTCTGGCGTCATCTGTGGGGAGAAATCAAGAGATAACGTTTTGGGTTGAGTGACGAGCTCGAGAAGGAGAGTCCTTCACAGTAACCTCAGTTGGTGCAGGAATTGAACCCACACTGTTGGCATCAGTCTACATCTCAAACCAGCCATTCAGAAAACATTTGGTAAGGTGCCACCTACAAGATTATTACACGATGTTAGGTTTAATGAGATCTGCGATATTAGCATGGGTTAGTCGGCATTGGTTAATTGACAGAAAATAAAGAAATCAGATAAACAAGTAATTTTTCCAATGTCAGGAAATAAATGAAATGCTGCAGGAATTGGTGCTGGGGTGGGGGTCAGTTCTCTACACCCCTCTAATGTCTTAGGGGATCAAGCGTCTAGTGACACATCTGGTGACAACATGAGCTTGCACAGTGCTTAGCACTACTGCCTCAGCACCAGGGACTGGTTTCAGTTCCAGCCTCAGTGTGATTGTGCAAACTCCACACACACTCCCGTGTCTGTGTGGGTTCCTACCACAGTCCAAAGATGTCTGGGTTAGATGGATTGGCCATGCTAAACTGCCCATAGTGTCCAGGGAACTGTAGGCTAGGTAGCTTAGCCAGGAAAAATGCAGTGTTTCAGAGATACAGTGGGATGCTTGATGGGCTGAATAGTCTGCTTCCACATGGCAGGGATTCTGTGATTAAAGCTAGTTTGGCAAAGCAGGCCGAGGGGGATGAAAGAAGGTTGAAATGTGATAGAGCCTGGTTAAGTGAATCAGCAAGAAGTTGATAGATGGAATATAACATGGCAAAACGTGAACTTTTCCACTTTGATAGAAAAGCAGAGTTTTCTTAAAAAATAATGCTTACACTGGCTCCCTCGGTTAAGCAACACCTTGCTTTTGGAATTTGCGTCCTTGTTTTCAAATCCTTCCATGGCTTACCCTTAGCTGTGTATCTCCTCCAGCCTGACAATCTGACAGGATATCTATAATCCAGTGATTCTAGCCTAGGGTATCCCCAATTTTTGTAACTATACCATCAGTTGTCATGCCCTTTTGCTCCTTCTCTAAACGTTCCTGCTGCCTTGCTCACTTCCCAGAAGACATTTAAACCCCATTTAACCAAGTTTTTGGTCATCTGCCCTTATATCACCTTATGTGGCTCAGTGTTAAACTTTGCTTTATAACATTCCTGAGAAGGGCTCTAGGATATTTTCCTTGCTAAAATGTGTAATGTAAATACAAGTAGCCATTGCAGCCAATTGCAATGATTTTTCAATGGCATTAGTGAGGCATATCCTGAGGGAGAACCAGAGATCGTATGGAATCATGAGGAATTTTGGTCTCTTAAAACTCAGCCTGATGGAGCTTGGATAAAACCTCCATTGGACTTTACTGAAATTAGCTGGGGTTTCCCTAACTTCTGTCAGCAGTTCATTTTACCAATGGTTAAAGGAGGCAGTACTTAGTAGGCTGCAACATAGTGGGCACTGAGCTCTTTTCGTGCCACAAAAATTTAGGGCTAAGCAATAAGATCCCACAATGGGTAACTAAATAGAACAAACAGAATTGGTGGCTCTGTGACAGGAGAGAAGGAAACATGAATGAGAAAACAAAGGCACATTCTTGATTTCAATTGCCAGTCACATTATTACTGGGGAGGCGATGGCCTATTGGTATTGTCGCTGGACCGTTAATCCGGAGACCCAAATAATGTTCGAGAGACCCAGGTTTGAATCCTGCCACAGCAGATGGTGGAATTTGAATTCAATAAATATTAGGAATTAAGAATCTAATAATGACTGTGAATCCATTGTCAATTGTTGGAAAGACCCATCTGGCTCACTAATGTCCTTTAGGGAAGGAAGCTGCCATCCTTACCTGATCTGGCCGACACGTGACTCCAGACCCACAGCAATGTGGTTGACTCTGAACTGCCCTCTGGGCAATAAATGCTGCCTAGCTAGTGACACCCTCATCCCATAAATGAATAAAAAAAATTACTCACTGTGACCTACGAATGGTTCTTTAGTAATATTTTAACAGTTTTGAGTCACCTATTATACAAGTCGAGTGGCAATGTGAACAAAATACTGACAAGAACTTCTTCAGGAAAAGGGCCAAAAAGCACTGGTTACTCAAAGAAACCTTTCTCACCAGCCAGTGTAGTATCACTGGAAGGGTTCAGATCCATGACTGAGATTCAGGCCAGAATGCAGCCACCAACCCAAAGTAAACACCCTCTTTCTCCCTGTCTCATTTGCTTTAAAGCTCTATATCTATCATGTTCCCACTGTAAATGAAGGTCATCAATTTGAAACGATGGCTGCTTGGTTAACACCACAGATTTGCCTGACCTGCTAAGCATTTCCTGATATTTTATGCTTTTATTGCAGAATTTCTGTGTAAATGCAGGCTGGCTGTGGATCAACTTAACCTCTGGGGTATAAAAAAAGAGTATCGATGAAGCTCCCTTAAATCGCAGGAAAGTTGACATTATTAAAAACAATAAAGGGGAAACAACTGCTGCTGAGTTCATGTTATTTCTTTTATTGAACAAGAGAGGCAGTCACTATTGCTATACAGCATTAAATGACTAACAGAATATCTTCCACTTATTATGCATTCCAACCTTACTTCCACAATTCTGTACTTCTGGGACAGTCCAGCACATTTTCACATTGATGATTCTAATGTCACAAACATAACATGCACAGGTGTACGGGAACGAGTGCTTCGTTCTAAGAGTTGAGGGAGCCCGATTCCGCTAACTGCGATCATTGTATAATTACATTTGTCAAGGTATTCTTGTACATTCCTTACACAAGTTTTTATTCGTTGCATTTTTTTTTAAAAACAGTTAGTTAGAGTCATAATTCCTTCAAAGTGCAAGTTCAACTTAAATCAGCCACAGTCAAGATTTACATGCACATTTTAAAAAATAAATTAATACAAAAAAGCTCAAGGGAAAATCCTGTTAGAAACAGAAAAGTCACATTCTGGCTAATGCATGGTTTTAATTTAATGGAACATTCTTTCGAGGCACATGCTAAGGAGAATGGCTTCAAATGAACAATTCAATTAGGTTGTGGTGCAAGAGCAATTAGTCAGTCCAACAAGCTTTGGACCATTTTTGTTTACATAACTTTACCCTAAAGAATAATTAGCTGCACTTTTAGTGGAATACTCCCAAGAAGTTTGACAAGATTCACATTTATCAGTCTAAACCCAATAGAGGCTCCTTTGGTTGCAGATTAAAGTTTACACCGTTACTGTGATGAGAAATTTCTCTTTATTGGTCCATGCAGTGGGAAGCCCACAGATTAATGACAATATCATTGAAGTTTATTTCAACCAGTTGGCAGTGACTGGGTTTTGAGAGTCACAATGCTCCAGCCATCAGGGTATAGCGCAGGCTTGTGGGGTCAACTGGCCTTTTTAGTGTCTGTCACCTCTGCACATTCAGTCCCAGAGATGATAATGAAAGCTGGAGATAGGAGACTCTCTCATTTGTGGTGTTTAGAAACAACGTTCAGGGAATCAGCAACGACAGGATTCCAGTTGCAACACAGGACTCAAATCGTGGGAGAATAGATCAAGAGAAAATTTTAGTGTCTGTCGATTACACAAAAATGTTCTGCTTACAGTGAATTACTTTTGGAGGGAATTGGCTCAATGTGGCTTTTCACACAGCAAGAATCCAGAAAGATCAAATCGAACATTGATGAAACTGATTGGGTCTGGATCCCAAGAAAACAGTCTTGCTGAAATACTACATTGAACTCATGCCTACCTACACTAAAGATACCAATCAAACATTTTATCTGAGATAACGAGGTGTAGAGCTGGATGAACACAGCAGGCCAAGCAGCATCATAGGAGCAGAAAGGCTGACGTTTCGGGCCTAGACCCTTCATCAGACATTTTATCTGTGTCACTTATAGACTGGGTGTAAAGTTGGCTGAGAGACAAGGGACCAATAGTAGTGATGGACAGTGGTTATATTGACTGAAGGAAATATATAGTGTGTTTCCCAAAGGTTTGTACTGCAATCACAGCTCATCTTGATCTCAGTTAATAAGTTGGGCTTAGCTGTATAGGGCACAATATCAAAAGCTATAGACGAGACAAAACACGGAAAGATTGTGAACCGTGAGGAGGACAGTGATAGTCTTGGAGGAGGACACAGGTTGTTGGAATAGACACAGCAGGTGAAGTTTGATGCAGAATAAAGTGATAACTTTTTGGTAATGATTCCTTTCTGGGGAGACATGATGTAGTGGTCATCCAGAATACCAGGCTGTTCTGGGGACATGTACTCAAATCTCACATTGATAAATGATTAAATTTAAGTTCCATGAAAATATGGAATAAAAAGGCAGTCTTATTGAGGCCACATAACCACTGCTGACTGTCATACAAATACATCTAGTTCACTAATGTCTTTTAGGGAAGGAAATCTGTCATCTTACACATGAATCCCAGGGGTCAGTCAGCTTGTTTGCGGTACAAATTCTCACACCAGCCGAGAATACCCTGAAGGAATCTCCTTCTCAACTCCGCCCCTCATCTGAGGCATGGTGACACTCAGGTTCTCTCTCTCTCTCTCTCTCTCAAGCAGCCCTATGGTGTGGTAAGACTATGGCAACTTCACCTTTTTACATGTGAATCCAGATCCACAGCAATGTGGTCAATTCTCAACTGCCCTCTGGGTATTTAGGGATGGGCAATAAATACTGACCCAGCCAGTAATGTCCAAATTCCATGAATGGATTAAAACAAAGAGAGGCTATTTTAAAGGCCAGGATAGTGTAAGCTTTTTTAATCAATTTGTTTTTATCCTGTTCTTTAACAGTTCATGCACGTGTCCTCAGGTCTCTCTCTATTTTAGTTCAAAAAGAGAGAGAGACCTGAGGATACATGTGCATGAACTGTTACAGAACAGGATAAAAACAAATTGATTAAAAAGGCTTACACTAACCCGGCCTTTAAAATCAATGCACAGAGTAGAAAGGCAAGGAACATAATACAGTCCCAAGTCAAGATGTTGTGCTACTTGGGAGGGGTCATTTCAGGTGGTAGCATTGCTATGCATCTGCTGTCTTTATTCTTCGAGGTGGCAGAGGTCACAGGTTTGGAAGGTGCTGAATCTTGGAGATAATACTGCTGATCATGGAGTACCATAAGCATTTGTTTCAGTGGATCTATTGTGTGGCTTCCTCTTGAATGACATCTTTATTCCAAATGGCAACTGGTCTAAATGTTGTTGGAATTGCACTTATCCAGACAACTGGAGAGTATTTCAGTTCTGAAGATGGGTAACTGGACCCAATCTCTCCACAGATGCTGCCACACCTGCTGAGTTTTCCAGCAATTTCTGTTTTTGTTGGAGAGTATTTCCTTCCTGTCCTGATTTGTACCTTTCAGATGGAAGTTGGGGTGAGTTACTCACCATAGAATTCCCAACTGCTGACCTACAGCATTTACATGGCTGGTCTAGTTCAGTTTCTGAGCAAGGTATTGAATAAAGGGATTCAGCAATGGTAATGCCATTGAATGTCAAGAGATAATTGTTAGATTCTCTCATGTTGGAGATGATCATTCACGTGTTGCACCAATGTTACTTGCCACTTAGCCCAAACCCGAATGTTGTCCAGGTCTTGCAGCATGCAGGCACAGACTGCTTTCAGTATTGGAGGTCATAATCACAGAGTCTTGGTGCACAGAAAGAGGCCCATCATACCCGCACTGGTCATTAAGCACTTGTCTACTCATTTTCCAGCATATGGCCCGTAGCACTTCAAGTGACAGTTGTTACAAAACATACTGAACATCCCCTCTTCTGAACTTCTGACGAAGGAATGGAAATTGATGAAATAACTGAAGATGGCTGGGCCTAGGACACCTACCCTGAGAAACCTCAAATTCATGATCTGGGTCTAAGAGGATTCTTGTTCATCAGCCACAACCATCTTTGTTTGTGCTGGGAATGACCTCTACCATGATGTCCTTTGACAGCACACTCAAATCAAATGGTATCTTGATGTTAATGACAGTTACTATCACCTCACTTGTTCCCATTGGTAGAAGGGTCAAGAAGTAAGGACACTGTTTTAAGGTGAATTACAGACGAAGAAAGGCAACATGTGGGGGGAGAAAATACTTTTGATGCTGTAATTGATGTTATGAAATGTACAAAGTGAGGTGAAGGTGGCTGATTTAATTAATTTAACAGGGAACTGGATGAGCACCTGAAAGGAGGCATAGAATCATAGGCTGACAGGATAGAATGGGGAAGTGGAACTGGCTAAATTGCTTAGAGCATGCGGAAAGGGGTTCAGCTGGGCAGTTGGGCTCCTGTGCTGTAACCATTCTATTCAGTAGACAATACCCAAGTAGACAACCTCAGTTGTACGCTAGTTAGCCAGCAGACACTAGGGTTAACCATACAAACCCCTTTCTCATGAAGTGACAAAGGAGGCTGATGGCACCACCAATAATGTAGCAATTCAGTCATCCCAGCCCTGATTGTGTGTCGGGTCTGCAGACTGAGGTTTGAACTCTCAACCTATTGATTCAGAGGTGCGAGTACCCCCAACTGAAGAGAATCGACAGGTGTTCAGAAAATTGCCCTGCTTTCATTTAGACAGAAGCTTTTCAGTATTGTGAAAGCATAGTAAACAATGAAAGGTGATCAAATTTGGTTTTCAAATTTGTAAAATGAACACAGAGTTCAAATTAGAGAACAGATGGAAGAAATTTTGTCCACAAAAGACGGCGTGTTTAATACAAGTGTCTACTGAAGTAGTGATATTGAAAATAGGAAAAAATAAATATTTTAAAATTGTAGTAAAATAGGAAGAAAGTAACTGGTGTCAAACAGTTAGCACTGGCACCAATGCAATGGCTTTCTCTATTGCTTCTAATGTAGATGAACAATACTGTTAGTTAGCCTGTCCTCCACATTGCATTAAGCCTCAATTTTTGCAAGCTCTCCTGAGAATATTCCTTTAACAGCTTACAGTAGCATGGTCAATAGTTGTGAAATTGTTAAATTTTCATCTACAGTACAGTGCAAACAAAAAAGATATCAGTGCTTTCCTGAGTCAACTTAATATTAGCAACCCATTTCACACTAGTACACTTTTAGTGTGCGGGCCTTTCACAGATCAAAGCTACGTCACATACCACGAGAAAACACCTCCAAACTTTTAGGACAGTTTATCAGACAAATCAAAAACCTATGTCAAACTATTTTACATAACAGGGTTTAACTTTGTGATTGTCCCTAAAACACAAATCATTAATGCCACTGCAGAAATTGTTTTTCGAAAAATATATCACACCCTGGAATGCTTAGAATCCAGCATAATTCATCACAGTTGCAGTACTTTTAATATTTCCTTTGACATTATTGCACCGGACGTATTTCAACATCTATTTTCTCTTCTACACAAGATGTATCAGGATGGCTCACAGTCTGCCGCAGAGTGATTTCTGGGCCCCCTCCATAAATCGAACAGAAGTAGTTCCAGGTCTCTTCTGAGATCTGGCCAGAATCAGCTCCTGGATAAGAAATTCAAGAAACATGACTTCATGTCAGAACACAAGACTCCCTTAATGATACATGGGACTACTAATCCAGTAAAAAGGCACCCACCCAAATAAAACAACCCTAAACTTTTTCAAGATTCCTGGCGTTCACTAGGACAGGACAGGATTGGACTGGACAACCAAATCCTTCATGTGGCCTGGCTGATCACTACACTGTTCTGGACTCACTGCAAATCTGTCAGGTAATTTGCCTGCGTACTTCATTAGAATTAGTGAAGTGGTTGTTTTCGACTGGCACAGATTTGATGGGCCAAAGGGCGTTTTATCTGCACTGTCGTCCTCTGACTCTCTATGACTCATATCATAGACATTCAGATAAATAAAGACTGTGCAAAAGGCTTACTTCTTAAACAATTTCCATATTTACAATGAATGGGCAAACCTCATACTGTACAACAACTTAAGCATGGTGTTATAGTTGCAAAGTGCTTCAACTGAGGTCACAAAAATGAAATGCTACATAAATGCAAGCTTGTTTTCCTAGACTGCCTTGGATTTTAGACAAACACTAACTATCACCACCACCACTCCCACCACCAACAAGCTTGCTGACTGGCATGTTGCGTATTCAAAGTCACTTAATATTAACTCATAGATCAGTATCAGCACTATTTTACTTCCCCTCCCTATAATACAAAATGGATTTATTTAACAGTTGGCTCAGAGTTAGAAGAGCAAGGCTTGGATGTTCTGTAACATGCTGAATATATACATGTAATTCATGAACATGATTTCAAGTCTTTGTATTTTTTTTTTAATTCATTCATAGGATGTAGGCATCTCTGGCTGGGCCAGCATTTATTGCCAGTCCCCTGCTGCCCTTGAAAAGGTGTTGAGCTGCTTTCTTGAACCACTGCACTCCACATGCTGTATGTAAACCCACAATGTCGTTAGGGAGGGAATTCCAGGATTGTGACCCAGAGACATGAAGGATTGGCAATATATTTCCACGCTAAAATGGTGAGTGGCTTGGAGGGGAACTTGTAGGCGGTGGTGTTCCCATGTCTGTGTTGCACTTGTCCTTCTAGATAGAAGTGGTCATGGGTTTGGAAAGTGCCAAGGAGTCTTGGTAAATGTCCACAGTATTTCTTGTAGATAGTATACTGCTGCTAACAGAACATTGGTGGAGGGTGGAATGGATGTTTAAAGATGTGGTGACAATCAAGCAGGCTGCTTTGTTCTGGATGGTGTCAAGCTACTTTAGTATTATTGGAGTTACACTCATCCAGTACTCCACCACATTCTTGACTTGTGCCTTGTAAATGGTGGACAGGCTTTGGAGTTGAAAGGTGAGGTATTCACTGCAGGATTCCTAACCTACTCTTGTAACCACTGTATTTCTGGTCAATGGTAACTCCCAGGATTTGACAGTAGGAAATTCAGTGATTGTAACACAACAACTGAATGCCAAGGGGCAATGGCTGGATTCTCTTTTATCGGAAATGGTCATTAACTGGCAATTGTGGGGCACAAATGTTACTTGCCAATTTTCAGCCCAAGCCTGGATACTATTGAGATTTTTCTGCATTTGGATATCAACTGATTCAGTATGAGGAATTGCAAATAGTATTGAACATTGTACAGTCATTCTGACCTTATGATGGAAGAAAGGTCGATGAAACAGCTGAAAGTAGTTGGGTGTAGGGCGCTACCCTGGAGGAACTCCCACAGAAATGTCCTAGAACCGAGATGATAAATCTCCAACAACCACATACAGGTATAGATGTCAACGGCAGTCACTCTCACTTCCCAGTTCTTTTCTCCAAGACTTTTTCCAAGTTTGAACCAAGATTTTAATGAGGTCAGGAACTGAGTGGCCCTGGTTAAACCCAAACTGGGCATCACTGAGCAGGTTATTGCTGAGCAAATGCTGCCTGACAGCACTGTTGAAGACACCTGCCATCACTTTACTGATGACCAAGAGTAGATATTGCATTTGATTCCAATAATGGCTTTTAAGATTTTTCAAATATGAAACTTCAGGTCCTCAAGATATTTTTGGAGATTGTCATAAGAAATTTTGGGTCTGGAATCATTTTCCTTGACAATCAATTCAGAAAACCTACCCTAATAGAATTTACAACACTGAAACAGGTCACTTAGCCCATTTCCTGAGAGTGGTCAATTTAATTGTCTTCAGCATCAACCTTCACCTAATGATCCACAAAAGTCTAAAACCCTACTTTCTATCAGAATGTTCTTCTATTTCTTTCTCCCTTATGTATTTATAGCTTCCTGTTTTGGACTACCATAACCTGGAAACATTTTCTTCATATCTATTCTAGCAAACTCTATCATGTTTAATGCCTTTATTAGGTCACCACTCAGCTTTCCCTTTTCTAGGGATAACAGCTTCAAGCTATTCAATGTTTCCTTTCAGACTTTTATTATAATTAGAATTTTTTATATTTCCTCCAATCCCTTTAATCCACTTCTTAACAGATACCAAATCTACATACATTACCTCACGTGTATCAAAGTTCAATTCGAAGTATAAAGTAACTTCACTCCCTTTCTGTTCTATTAAGCACAATCTGTGCAAAATAAAGAATGTGCACATACCTTGTTTTAAAGACATGTGGTTGCTTTTGCCGACTGCTATCTTGGCATTGTCAATTGGACCAGGAGGCTCTAAGACATGAGAATAATTAAATATGTATTAAATCAGGAAAAACACAATTAAGATATGCATAATCACTCATTAACTGGCCGTTTATGCAAATGGTGCAAGATAGGTTTATCTATCACTGTAAATACATTTTGTAAACAGCACATGTTGCTTTTTCTCATTTGAAGTGAAGATAATTTTGTTCTTGAAATTGAAAACAACACAAGGGCCAGCTTCAACCAGATCGATGATGTCCAACTACAGTTCAAGTGTGGTAACTCAAAAACCCGAATACCTAAGTTGTCGAAAAAATTCATATTTATAGTAGTCAGCCACAAAATTTGTATATCTACACTTCAGTACATATCACAAATAAACCTGATTAAATTTATGAAGCAGTTATTTTTCTTTTAGCTTCCACGATTTCACAATTTCAATTAATATTTCAAAATGTTTGTTCCATATGTACTTATAAAAACACACTTTCTATTAGGAAAACTGCAAGGCTAAACTGAGAAATCCAGACACTAAACTCAGGATAACAAACAACTTTCTTGTGCTTAGTGAGTTACTTTATAAGATAGAATTTCTGCCAGGAAATACTTCCGTAATAAGTGGAGTAACTGCAGTCCAAAAGTCTGTGGTGCAGGTTGAAAACCAAATAGAGATGAGATAAAGCAACAAAGTTGATATTAAGATTTATTTTGAAATGCAAAAATTGTACTATGCAGAGAAGCCAGATGCAGCAAGTAGCACAGTTGAGCCCCTGAGAATAAACATGTTGAGATTATGGAAATTGCAGCCAGTCTGGATTTCAAAAGAAGTCAGGATATAAACAGTGACAACGTGAAAATATTCAAAAGGAAATTTCTGAAGCATATGGACATTTAGAACTTGGGCTTATCAACCAACACGATTATTTCAACTTGTAACTGTTGTTGCTCTGCATTTCAGCCCTTAAACAAGATCTCTCATTAATCCAATTTGGAACAGAAAGAGAAATGGATCCTAGACAGAATATAGCCTGGCCTCTATTATAGAAAGGATGTAAAGAGGGAGAGCAGAAGGTGCAAAAGAGACTTCCCAAACATGATACTGGAACTAAAAGGAAATACCATTCTGTAAAGGTTGAACAGGCTCTAGAAAGCTGAAGATTGAGGAACGACCTGACAAGAGGATTTGAAGATTATGAAAAAGTTGATAGAATATATGTAGAACAGATGGTTACACTTGTAGGTGATTCTCCAAGACTGGGGTTTATAAATGCAAGGCAGTCATTAAAAAATCTAACAGAATTTTAAGAGAAACCTGGAGTGGTAAGAATGTAGAATTCACTAATACAAAGAGTAGCTGAAGTGAATATCACAGATGTATTATGGAGAAACTAGATAACCATGAGGAAGAAAGAAATACTTGGATATGTTAGTAAGGTTAAAAGAGAGATGGACATGGGATACTGCACAGTATAAACAATGGCATTGACCATTCCTACACTGTGAAGACTTTGTAAAATGCTTGGACTGCATCTTCAATACGTGGCAGCCCTGTCAGACCAGATCTGTTAATCCATCGAGGGCAAAATCCTGGCCTGCATCCTCCTGAACTGCCTCTGCCCTGACGCGGAGGTTCACTCAGAAACTCAGTCTGCTATCGGGGGAACTGCAGACATGGGTCTTGACAGCTATGCAAATCCAAGAAAAACATCAGGAGCAAAACATAGAATGGCTCCTTACTTTGGTCAGGGCAACAAAAGCACTTTATTCTCTACATAATGAATTGTCCTCCAACCTCAGGATGGTGATGAACTTCAACAGGCAACTGGAGACACCTGCATGACAACATGACTACCGCTCTCCTGAGTGGAGGATGTGAAACTAACACCTTTTACATCCAGACCTGGGTCAAACAAGGTTGTGTGAATGGTTCCTGCCTTATTATTTTATCAAACATCATCTTTTACCTCATCCGAGATGACCACTCTGCGTCAGCAACCAAAGGGAAACTTTTCAATTTCCGGTCACTTCCAGGCAAAAATTAAAAACTTACCACCATCGGCTACCACAATCTTCAGTTCACAGATGACTGCTGCATGATGGCTCACTTCACACAGGACCTGCAAAGCATGCTTGACTTTTTCAACACCTTAAATATGATGCCTAACTTGTCCTTAAACATGGCTAAGGAGGTCCTCCATCAAACTGAGGCTAATTGAGAATCCCTGACACCATCTACGTAAATATGAAGTATATGCAAAATGTCCCAGATCTCGGCAGCTACCTCTGTGAAAGGGATTGCTATCGTTGAAGAAGTTAAACACCAGGTCAACTGTGCCAGCAGTACCTTCAAGTTGTGAAATGTCTTTGACAACAGGGATCTTTGGAGGTCAAAGGTCCTGGTATATAAGGCTGCTGTGTTGACAACCTTCCTCTACTGCAGCAAAACATGGCCCATTTACTGATGTCACATTAGGATCTTGAACGGTCTCCAGGACCTGCACCTAATGCCGAATTCTGGAAATCAAACGGGAACATGGATGGACCAAAGCAAGAATCGTCCCAGAAGGTGTGTTTACCAGATTTAAGCACTGGTCTTAAAATAAAGACAAGTCCGATGGATGGACCATTACATCTGGATGTGTGAAAACTGCCTTCCTTTTCTCTTCTTCTAGTTCTCCATTGGCCAACACTCAACACTCATTGGCCAAAGGAAAAGAGACAAGGTTGGGCTACAAATTGCCCTAAAGAGATACCACTGATTGACAGGAGAAAGCCACTAACTGCTTAGCGCAACATCTCCTCATCCATCAAGGCTCAAGCCACGACAAGGCTCAGTGACTTGACCGTGAAGTAGAAAGGCAGTGGCAGAGAAAGGAGAAGGAAGCCAACTGGGGCCATAAATTCCATTTCCCTATGCAATGTCAGCCTACTTTTAAAAAAAGACTCGTGGATGCAAAACTGGGCTCCTCCTTAATCTGAAGACTCACCTAGCCCGTGAGACATCATCCTCAGTTCTGAGGAACCATTGACGAGACGGTATGAACATGAAATCTGAACCAAACTGCAGACTTAGAGCGGACAGATCAAATATTCAACTGCATCAATGTAGATGCCAAAACCAGCTGCATTACAGCCCTGACCAGATGAGAGGTTTTCATTTCCACTCCTGTGTTTATATATTCTAATGCCAAGTTATTCTCAAAGCATCATCTACTTGGAAAGCAAACAGGAATTAAAATAAAAATTCTGGATTACAAATTAAGACAACTGCCAAAATAAGTCAATATTATATGCTTACCACATTATAGTTTACATACCATGTTCCTTGCCCTTGACAAATCCTTCCCATTCTCTGAACCATTGCATGCTAATACAGTAGATAACAGAAGGTGATTCTTCTTCCTGGAAAGCTTTGTTTAGCTATATTAAAAGGGACAAAGTTTCAATTATTTTGTTTGTCACACTTCACAAACTTGCCAAATGCAAGTTAATGCAATAGCAGCGTGAACTAACATAACATTAATTTAATAAGATAAAGAGACTTTCATTTATGACTTGAGGATGTTCCAAAGTAATCTACAGCCAATTAAGCATTTTTATAAATATCTGTTGCCATTGATGTAACAGAGGAAAATCTGCTGTCAATTTGCACACAGCAAGGTCCCACAAACAGTAACGCAATCTGAGCAGATAAGTGGTTTTGAATTAGGTTCGACAAGGAATATTTGCGGGCCAGCTCACCATGGAGAACACCTCTTACGAAATAATTCCACGTGATCCTAGTTTACCTGACAGAGCAGCAAATCTCATAAATATGCTCAGGTACGTCCACCTAGAGTATGCACTCAGTTCTCTGGAACAAGAAGTGAATCAACAGCCTTCTAAGTTATAGAGAGCTAGAGGCACAGCTGTCTATGTACATGTGTGCAAGTTGCATGTAAAATGTCAAATGTATTTCTTATGCTTGCCTGACTGAACTGCTTCCTACGTAATGGAGAACAGAGAAACAAGACGAGAATAAGTAGAAATGGTGCAAGACACTAGGCAGAGTGTATGGAGGGAAGTGAAAATCAAGTGTTTGGAATGGAGGGGAGGGAAGACAAATGAAACAGATATTTTGGGGAGAATTCAGAGTAGGAGGATGTGGTGCATTGGAATCAAGTGACAAATAAGAGTGGAGGATGCAAAGCTGTGGAGAGTTGTTTAGACACAATGGTGGCGGGAACAACAAACGGAATTCAAAACAATAAGGTTAAAATTGGTTTGTTGGATAGATTGATGGAATGGAACTCAAGGAGGATAGAAGTTATTCTTAAAATGGGGAAAGTCAGAAATAAACAGCTGCTTGCTAGTGCAGAACATGAAGATTGTTGAGAAGAGAAATAAGTCGCTGAAGGTTTTGTTCTGTACTTATCAAGACGAATGGAAGAATGCCAAACTTCAAACAATCACAATTTATACTACAATGGGAAAAGGTTCTGATGGGTTGCCAAGTTGACTCTGATTGGCACAGGCATTGCTTTAGAGAAACCAATAGGCTCACTTTGCAAATTGAAAAAAGGTTCAAGATTGGAATATATTTATTTTGTTTGCAGACAGTAGGCCCTCCATATGAATGGATGTTGCTTCTGAAGTGTGTAAATGGGCAGCCTTACTGATTATCTTAAATTAACTGTCAGCACAGCTATTAGTGCACTCAGAATTGTTGAAATTTGGCAATCTTGAGTTAGCCCTGCTGAGTGCAAGACAAAAAAGCTTTGACATCAAGACAAAAAGCTTTAGCAAAAACAAAAATATCAAATCTACCCTTCAGTTTAACAGACTAGTTTTGTGGCAACATGGCCTCCTTTAATGCTTCAGCGATTTCGAGATTTTAAAAATAGCATGCTATATGGGCACCTCTGGCAATGTCAGGATTCATTACCCATTACTAATTGTTCTGTGGAAATTAATGGTGAATAATCTTTTTGAACCACTGTACTTACTGATCAGTTCACCCACAATGCGTTCGGCAGTGTTTCCCTGCATGCAAGACACTCCCAACCTTCACAAGTTTTGATTTTCCCAGAACCCAGCAGATCAATTCCTCACAAATAAATGCAAAAAACTGTGAATGCTGTAAATCTGAAATTAAAAAAAGTGCTGGAGCAACTCAGCAAATCCGTAAGACCATTAGACACAGGAGAAGTAGGGAATTCAGCCCATCGAGTCTGCTCCACTATTCAATGAGATCAGGATTGATCTGATAATCCTCAACTCCACTTTCCTGACTATTTTCATAGCGATACAATCTATCAAGTTGATTCCCTTATTGATCAAAAATCTGTCCACTGCAGCCTTGAATATACTCAACATGCTGATTTTGACAGCCCTCTGTGGTAAACAAAATCCATAGATTCATTACTCCCAGAGAAGAAATTCCTCATCAGTTCTAAAATGTAGGACCCCTTATTCTGAGATTGTGCCCTTATCCTTGACTCATCCACAAGGGGCAAACAACCTCTCTGCATCTACCCTGTCAAGTCCTTTAAGACCTTATTGAGACACTGAAGGTTCATCTCTCTTCCTCTAAATTTCAATGAGTATAGGCCCAACCTACTCAACATCTCCTCATTACAGAATCCCACTATATCTTTTATCAGCCAAGTGAACCTTTCCTGGACTGCCTCCAATGCCAATCTATTTTTTCTTAGATGAAAGAGGTCCAAGACTGATCGCACTATTCCAGTTGTCGCCTGGCAAGTGCTTTGTACAGCTTTTACAAAACTTCCCCACTTTTATATTCCATTCCTTTGAAACAAAGGCCAACATTTTAGTTTCCCTCCCTATTACCCACTCAACTTAGATGCTACCTCTTTGTGATTCATGCATGAGGACAAATCCTTCTGTTGTGTAGCTTTCTGTGGTCTTTCTCTGTTTAAATAACATTCAACTCCAAAGTGCATAATCTTACATTTTCCCACATTATATTCCATCTGCCAAGTTTTTTTCCCCACTTGCTTAACTTCTCTATATCCCTTTGCAGACCCTGTATCTTCCTCACCATTTGCCTTCCCACCCAAGTGTAACCAGCAGCATCTGTGGAGAGAGAAACAGTTAATCCTGCGAGTCCTGTACAATTCGTCTTCAGAATTATAGGTTCCAAAAAAAAAATGTCATTCCAGACTCTAAAATTAACTGTTTCTCTTTCTCTCTCCACAGATGCTGCCAGGCCTGAATTTTTACAGCACCGTTTTTATTTTAGCCCAGATTCCTCTTCTATGTTCAACACCTCTATTGTCACACAACTCTACTAGTTCCCTAAAGTATTGCCAGAGCAATTTCATCACATTCAAATCCCTCAGTCTTGGACTACTGTTCAAACTATCAAAATCTCAGATATTGCCTTTTCTCCACTATTTCATTGAAGTTACCGGTAGAGCCACAGATTTTCTTACATGAGGACTGCTATACATTATTGTCAGATACAATTCAATGAAAATTACCTATCCAGTTAAATGGAAGCTAAATTCCACTAGAACCCAAAGCCAGAATCATCTGTTCTACAGAATTTAACCAGGCCAGATTATTGAGGAAGCAACTTGACAAAAACACAATAGAAACAAACACGTCTTTCACTTTCAATGAAAGATAAAAGTAACTTTTTAATGTCTAATCTGAAAATTACTCAAGCTTATTTCATGATCAAGAGCTGCAAATGGCATTTTTAATGAACTGAGTGAGTTCATGCACTTGATAGATTGTATCACTAACAGTTTATGTTTGCTAATGAACACATTTATTTTAAGAGTTCCTGTAGTTAATGATTTAAAAAAAAGTTAAAATACTGTGGTACAATTGAGAACAGTCACGCTATTTAATAGCTAGTTCAAAAGGGGGAGTGAAAACCTTTCCTCAAAAAAAAACGGTATCTGAAATATGAATACAAATGATTTTCTTGCCTTTTACTGTTCCCAAACGACATGATAGGAGAGGGCAATTCTATTAAAATTAAGATGCTTAATCTATTTTTACCAAGGTTAACAATGAACTATTAGTCTTGTGTACTTAAGTATACAAATGACACACAAACATGAAACTCCATAAAACAGAAACAAATCAACTTCATACATTATGCACAAAAGGTAATACGGTTGGAAATTTCCAAGTGAGGTGAGAGAAAAAAAATTGCCACAACCAAAAATATGAAATAAAAGCCAAATGTTGGAGATACACAGGTTGTATTCATAGCATAGCATTCACAACATCCCTACAGTGCAGTCAGAGAGGCCATTCAGCCCAAGTCTACACCGACTCTCCAAGAGCATCCCACCCAGACCCAAACCTTCCCCTCATTTCCCATGGTTAATACAACTAGATTGCACAACCCTGGACACTATGGGGCAATTTAGCATGGCCAAGTCACCTAATCTTTGGACTGTGAGAGGAAACTGAAGCACTTGGCAGAGACCCATGCAGACACAGGGAGAATTTGCAAAATCCAAAGTCAGACAGTCAGCCAAGGGTGGAATCGAATTGGCATTGAGAGGCAGCAGTGCTAACAACTGAACCACTGTGCTGCTCTATAGTCAGGTAGTACTGTCTACACATTTGATTCAATTTGATTTATTATTGTCACATGTGCCTAGGCACTGTGAAAAGTTTTGTTTTGCGTGCAGCACTGACACGTCATACCATACAAAGTGCATTATGGTAATAAAAGAGAGAGAGTGAAGAACACAATATTACAGCTGTAGAGAAGGTGCGGAGAGACAGAAATCAATATTAAATTTAAAATTTGACAGGCCCATTCAGAAGTCTAATAATAGCGGGGAAGAAGCTATTTACCAATTTGGACTGGATTACTGACTTCAACATTGTTCATGCAAGTTGGAAGCCATCAAGATCCCATGGTTAAGGCACTTAATACTTGTTCCCACCATAACACTCAGTCATTTTATTACCCTTTCCAAAGCATTGCTATTAGGTTCTCTGCTCATAAGTTCAAAAAGGCATCTGGACAACATCCCATTGTGGAACCATAGAGCTGTTCCTTCACCATCACTCAGTCAAAATCCTACAACTCCATTCCCAACCAGCTCTGTGGGTACAGAGATCAGATTGCTCTGTGGCATTTCAAGATGGGGTTCATCACCATGTGCTCAGGGGCAATGAACAACAAATGCTGGACTTGCCAACAATACTTGTATCCCATGAAAGAATTAGAAAAATGTTTCTTTTTGAAAGTTTACAGTAGAAGAGTTTCCATTTATCTATAACAGCTGACCCTTTTGACCATCACTTACAAAACATCTCAATTTGAATACTTCACTTTTAGTTCCAGGAAAGTTGATCTCTTAGTTCATTTTTTGCTTGTGTAAATTTGCTTCTAATCTTGACCTTTTCTTTAAAGGACTTGATTTGTGTAGTTTGACATGATAAAGGTTTATTCATTCACTTAAAGAGGTTAGGAGAGCAAGGATGCAATCCAGGTGCTTTGCAGTACAAAGTAACTCCATAAAGAGTTGGATAAACACCTAAAGAGAAACAAAATTGCAAACTGGAGGGAAAGGCAGGGGAATGGGACTAGCTCATTTGCTCTTGTGGACAGCCAGCATAGATACAGGTTTCGAGTTCCTGTAACCAATGTGATTCTATGAAAACGATTCATTACTAATTCCGCAACAAATTAACTCATTTAATTTTTCACAGATTCTGAGCATGGCATGAATTTTGGGACAGAAGCTCCCTCATTGTCAGTGCAGGAATGTATTTATTAAAAAAAGTCTACACCTGAAGCAAATCTCACCAACTCAACTTTTGACATGTGGATTGCCGCCAGCTTCAAGCAAGGATGAGCAGTTACATGCAGAGAGTAAACAAGCTGAGATTGTGATCTTCACAATCTAGAAGACTAAGAGGAGAGGCATTCAAAATTATGCATTGTTTTGAGAGATTAAGTAAGGGGAAATGTTCTCCATTCTCAGGAGGGTTGGTATTCAGAGGATGCAATTGTGAGATGACTGGCAAAAGAGCCAATGCAAAATTTTTGCAGAGGTAGGGGAACAACATGGGAGCAAAGCAAATTGGATAGCTTTGGCAAAGCCAGCATTGACATAATGGATTGAATGGCTTCCTCCTGTGTTGAAATGATTCCACTTTAGATATTCAGGTTAATTAATGATACCTGATAGCCGACTTTGAAAATTTTTAAATCATTTGTTCATAAATAATAACAATGGGATAATAACATCACTGAAATGTCATGACATTCCCATGTTATTTCTGTTTTTTCTCCCGGACACAACACTCCCCAAACAGCCAAAAAGTGTCACCACTAGCTCACACTAACAACTCTTAATTGTCTATTCTGCAGAGGCCCAAATGACCAAACCTATCTTCAGAAATCATGCTAAGGCCTTAACCTGACTTTGTTCCAATATTGTTGGATTAAAATGGAAGTAAAGGCGTTTTAGTGCAACCAAATAATCAACTAAAACAAAAAATTCCAAAATATTGAATGTTTTCAAGAAGGATTAAAAATTGTTCTTAGGGCTAAAAGGGATCAAAGGCTATGGGGAGAAAGGCAGGAACAGGATACTGAGTTAGACGATCAGCCATGATCACACTGAATGGTAGAGCAGGCTGAAAGGGCTTAATGGCCTACTCCTCCTCTTCCTATTTTCAATGTTTCTATGTTACAGATTTCAATAGTTGGTTGAACTCATTGAAGAAAAAATGCAAAACAAAACCATAAGATTTTGAACAAGGCATTTGTTTCCTTACTCGTATAAACATTTCCAGTTCCACCTTCCTTCTCTTTTCTACTTTTTCAATCTCGATCTGGCAGGTTTGGCAGGTGTAGAGATGATTGACAGCTGGCCCCCCTCCATACCTGTCAGGATAGCAAAGCAGATAGTCTAATTTCCGTAAAACCTGTATTGCTACATGTCAAAACAAGGAAGGAAGGAATAACTTCCATTTATATTGAACTTCAGAACAGGCCTAAAGTATTTTATAGCCAATTAAGTACTTTTGAAGTGTTGCAATCTAAGGAAATAAGAGAACACAAGGTCCCACAAACAAGGAAGAATTAATTGTCAAGTTAACTTTTAAGTAATAAATGTATGCTGATAAAATGCTTCAAGGTGCTACACAGAAGGATTAAAATCCAACACCGAGCCAAAGTGATACTAGTGAAGATGCCAAGAGTTTGGTTGAGGTAGGTAGGTTTAGGAAGAAAGATAGGTGGTAGCACAAAGAGGTTAAAAAGGGAAATCCAGAGGGAAAGGGCTAGCCAGCTGAAGGCAGAGTCAGCAAGATGGAGCAATTAAAAATCAACACTTAAGAGACCAGAATTAGATGATCCTCAGCAGGCCAAGGCTGGAGCAGAGCAAGTCAGAAAGCACAGGCTTTAGGGTGGATGTGTGGAAATGGGTGAGTAAGACTTGGCACAAGTAACAATATGAGCTTTGTTTTGGATGACATTTTTATGGACAGTAGAATGAGAGATCCCAGATAGAAGTGGGTTGAAATAGTGAAGTTTCAAAGTAACAAAGACAGGGATGAGGGGATCAGCTGATGATCTGACGCAAGGTTTGGGAGGGTGGATTTAGGCAATCGTGAGTAGCTTCAGGGAGAAGTTACAAATGCACATTAATACATGCTTGCCAATTTGACTTTGAAGTAGCATATTTTAAATTGTATTTGCAGGTTATCATACAACGTTCGAAGTGACTGCAGCCAACTTACTTAGCAGCTGGATTAACTTCAATTACTCAAACCCCGAGAGTTACCATCCCTTAACAGCAAAAAGAAATCTAACTGCTTCAGAAATAAAACCAAGGTTTTTAACATTGCAAACAATAGTGATCCGAAATTAAATGCAATTTTGCCTTCCATTAATTTATTTTGTGTTCTTCTTTGAAGGGTCATAATAAATTTTGAAGTAGATTCCACACTTAGCTTTTCTCTACCATGAACTGTCTTATAACTCTAATTTTATTTTTGTTGAACCAGACCAATTTAGTGGGTCAATATGCAGCATAAAAGATGGCCCCAGGAGGTGTCTCACAGCAGCAAAACTGGATGAAAATTAATACCAAGTCAAAAGAGGGAAAAAAAGCAAAATACTGGGGATACCGAAAATCAGAAATGAAAATGCTGGAAATACTCAGGCAGGTCTGGCAGCATCCGTGCAGAAAGAATCAGAGTTAATATTTTAAGTTGGAAATGACTTTCCTTTAGTATCAAAGGTGGAAATGTGGAGGGTTTATGCAATGAAAGGGGAGGGAGGAAAGGAAGGATGAAAGGGAAGACGGAAGGGAAGACCTTAGGTAGGGTAGAGGGCGAGAGAGATTAAATGACAAAGTAGTCATGGAACAAAAGTGGTGGGCGCGTGGAATGCACTGCCGGCAGTGGTAGTGGAGTCAGATACATTACAGACATTTAAGCGACTCTTGGACAGGCACATAGATGATAGTAAAATGTAGGGTATGCAGGGTAGTTTGATCTAAGTAGGACAATAGGTCAGCACAACATCGTGGGCCAAAGGGCCTGTACTGTGCTGTATTGTTGTATGTTCTTTGTTCAAGAGGCAAACGGAGAGGTTCGTGTAATGAAACAGTATTGTTTGACAGCTGCTTACCGTACACATTGCCAGGAAATCAAATATAATTGCAGATACCCTGTCCTGGACTTAAAGTGAACCACTTAGAACTAAAGAGATAACATTGATCAAGGCTCAGAGAATGAAAGTGTTATATTTAATAGTCTGATTCAGTCATTCTCAAAAGAAACACTGTCAACAGCACGAAACCTTTAGTTTTGAAGAAAAACCATATTCAGTTTGATATGTTAATGCTGTTTCTCTGAATAAAGTAACTATTAGGTAGATCCAAGAAGTAGATTTAAGTAGTGTTCGCATAAGAAAAGATACAAATTGGAAGTGGTCAACGTGGAGATCGTAACCACTTGGGTTTGATTTAAGAAGAAACTAGCTTGACTGACTGTGTTTTGCTCCATTGGTGGAAGCCCGCTCTTAATGAAAACATTGATGCACACAATTTGGGTGGGCCAGTCAATGGTCTAAACGAAAAGAAACAAGATCATTGACGCACCAGATAATTTGTGACACAATGCAAATCAAAAGACACATTTATGTACATCAGCTGCCAAAAAAGTCTCACCAGAGAATGCAGGAATTTGAAAGAAGTAACAACAAGTTCAAACACGAGACTATAAAATGGTACTCTGGTTATGGAGGGTTATGTCATCCATTATACTCGGCACCAATCTTTTAAAATTTCTATAAAGATGGAATTGTCAGGCATTTGCAAAAATAGAAAATCAATACCATACACATACCACATAATAATTGGATATGTGTATCAAATTCCACTTTAGCAGTTCTGATTTTGAATGTTTACAGGATGCTCTTGTGCAACTCCAGGATCGAATGTCATGATTCCATTTATACACGCTTTTCTTTTGCAAGTATGTGTTTACCATGAAAACTAGGGACCTTGTGAAATGCAAGTCTGAGTTGCCATTCAGAACATGTGTTGTTATTAGGGGAAAGATTATCTAAAAGTTTACCTCCCACAGAAGGAAAGGAAAAGGAACAGGTGCCACATTTCTTACCTGCTGTACAGATAGTCCCACACATTCTGAGGCAACATCACAACAAGCTCATCAATGTAACTGGCCTTCTGAGGTGGGACACCTGTAACAGATACATTTCGTTATTAGAATGTTGTGTCGATTTTCCAGCATGGCCTATTTCTATGTTTCTTTAATGCGAAGTATTCAATAAGAAAACTGCTTATAGCAGCAATTTATTCTTTAGTGATTGCCTTCTTTCCTTCGTCTTGAAGATGTTGACTCTTTGCTGGGGTAAAGTTCCACAAAGAGGGGGAACCATTTGGTTTCTAAAAAAAGAAATAACTGCAGATGCTGGAAATCAGAAACAAAAACAGAAGTTGACGGAAAAACTCAGCACGGCTAGCAGCATCTGCATAGCAAAATGAGAGTTAACGTTTCAGGTCCAGTGACCATTCTTCAGAACGCACTATTTGGTATCTTGCACAGCCAAACCTAATGTATTCTGACATTTGCATCTTCTTCAAAAAGGTCACTAATAGATAACTATTGGGAACAAGTTTCACCTGGCAATGCTGAGATTAATTTTAACAGAAGCTTCAACTGCCACCAGGGATGAAATCAGCCATTGCTACATAAAGCAGGTATTGCAGCTAGGAACTGTTACACCAAGCCTGACCCCGCCCCCATGTGGTTTCACAAACATCCAATTAATCCATCCATCAGTTGCTTACAGTTGGTTGAATGTATCTCAAGTATCACTTTACCTCCGTGAGCACAAAGGAACTCATTGTTGCTAATAGGACCTGGCTCAGCAAAAGTCTTGAATTTGTTCAGCCACTGACGTGATATGTAGAACTGAAGCAGACTAGGTTCCATCATATTCAGTAGATGAGCAACTCTCTGCCTTTCTTTCTGCATCTCCTCACTGCTTTTTCTGTGAAATAGAAATGACAACACAATGTGGCATTGAAAATCTACAATAGCTGAGATTCCTGTTGATCTCGTTGCACACAGTCATTGCATCCTCTCCCTGTACTGTTAGCACCAATATTGATGGCATCTGAACCAAAGCACTTTGAAAAAATAAATCAGTTCAAATTGTCCTACACTGAGCAAACCACTATCAGGTGTCATCATCATAACAGAAACCTCTCCCATAAGAGGATTTATAACTAGAGGAAAGTTCATGCAACCATACAGCATGGATGAAGGCCAAGTGATTCATTACGCCTGTGCCAGTTTTTAGAAAGAGCTATTCAATTCTTCCCACCGCTCTGCCTTTCACTACCACACCCCATAAATATTCCCTCTTCTACTTTCCCTTTTGAAATTTACTACTGAATTTGCTTCCATCCACCTTTCAGGCAGTCCATTTTAAATCACTGCATTTTTAAACAAAATGCTCTTTTCTTTGCATCCTTCCTGGTCTCCTCTATACCCTTCCTTGCAACGTCCTCTTCCCAGTGCTCAAATCCTAGCGACATCCCAAATGGGCAGAATGAAAAAATAAAAGGAGGTTTACATTGATAGATTTTCATTAGCACTTATTTCTGCTTCTTGAGCAAAATATTCAGACTACATTTCTGTAAGACAGGAATAATCAAATTCAGAAGGAAAGAATAATTGATAGTTTGTTATGATCCCTGTGGGAATTCACTGAATGATCCTGTCATGAAGAAATTACCAGCAAGGTTTACTGATTACAGTTTTTGCAGTTTTTATTTTAACATGAATCAGAATGACCGCAGTAATTGCCGTCTTCTTAAGTGAATAAAAATGATCCCATGATATTTGAAGATGAGCAGATACATTCTCCCAGGTTCCTGACCAATATGGATTGCTCAACCAGCACCATAAAGAAATTATTTAATCAATTATCTTATTGCTGCTTGTGGGAACATGTTGCGCACAAACTGGCTGCTATGGTACCTACATTAAAGCAACAGCTACATTTCAAAAGTATTGCACTGGCTCTGACGTGCATTGGGACATCCTGGTGAAAGGCACTGTATGAGGGGGCTAGTTCTTTCTATCAAAGTTATGTTAAAGGGCAAGTTCCAATTACGAGGTGCCCTAGTGTTGTTTAATTTTCTTAAACATTACACTGAGAAAGAGCATGAATGTGTGCATAATATTTCATATACAATGAAATACTTTTGAAGTGCAATGACTTCTATATAGCAGTAACCATTTTGCATACACAATCGCACAGATAACAAGGGAAACAGATCATCAATTTCACAGCTTTGGGGACTCTGATCGAAGAAACGATGCTTTCCAGAAGATGAAGCCTCTACCCACCCCTCTTCAGACTGAAAATTGAATCCTTTGATCAGAGTCCCCAAAAGCAGTGAAATTGATCATCTGTTCCCCTTGTTATCTATGGGATTGTGTATACAAAATGGTTACTGCCTATATAGAAGTCACTGCGTTTCTGGACTACTGCTACACAACCAAAGATGCCTATCGCTCAATCCCCTGCCCACACTTCGGAAAATCCGACCACAGCACTGTGTTCCTCCTCCCAGCTTACAAGTAGAAGCTGAAGTAGGACAATCCTTCATGAAAAGAAGTACAGTGCTGGTCTGAGGCAGTGGAAGACCGTCTCCGGGACTGCTTGGACTCGGTGGACTGGACCACGTTCAAATGCTCAGTGGAAAACCTTGACGAGTATGCCACCATCGTCACCGACTTCATTAACAAATGCGTGGAGGACTCTGTACCAAAGAAGTCAATCCGAGTGTTCCCCAACCGTAAACCTTGGATGAACCAGGAAATCCACTCCCTATTGAAGACCGGATGTGCAGCATTCAAGTCGGGTGCCCCGGACCAATACAGAAAATCCAGATATGACTTCCACAAAGCCATCAGGGAGGCCAAGAGGCAGTACTGGACCAAGTTAGAGGCCCAGACCCACCAAATAGATTCCCACTGTCTATGGTGAGGCCTAAATGACATTACGGGATACAAAATGAAACAGTGTAAGAAAGCGGACAATGACACATCCCTCCCTGACACAAATAATTCTATGCTCGGTTTGAGCATAATACCACCAGCGTGCCCCGACATCCCCAGACCCACCTGTTCCCTCTGTCACTGCTTCAGAAGTCAGGTCAGTCTTCCTGGGAGTCAACCCAAAGAAAGCGATGGGTCGGATGGTGTCCCCGGCCAAGCGCTCAGAGCCTGTGCGGACCAAATGGCGGAGGTATTCACCGATATCTTCAACCTATCCTCCTACAAGCTGAAGTCCCCACCTGCTTCAAGAAGACCACCATCATCCCAGTACCAAAGAAAATACATGCAGCGTGCCTTAATGACTACCGCCCAGTGACTCTACTTCAATAATCATGAAGTGCTTGGAGAGGCTGGTCATGGCCCACATCAACTCCAGTCTCCCAACCTGCCTCAATCCCCTACAGTTTGCCTACCAACATAACAGATCTGCAGAAGATGCCATATCCCTAGCCCTGCACTCATCCCTGAAACATCTGGAAAACAAAGACACTTACATTAGACTCCTGCTCGTTGACTATAGCTCCGCCTCAAACACCATTATCCCCTCCAGACTCATCTCAAAACTGAGACACCTTGGCCTCAGCTCCGCCTTCTGCAACTGGATCCTCAGCTTTCTAACCCACAGACTGCAACCAGTGAGGATAGGTAACTGCACCTCCTCCACAATAACACTCAACACTGGAGCCTCCCCAAGGATGTGGCCTTATACTGTACTCCCTGTACACCAATGACCATGTTGCCAAATTCTGAACGAACACCATCTGCAAGCTCGCTGATGACACTACCATAGTGGGACGGATATCTAACAACGACAAGTCAAGATACAGAAGGGACATAGAGAGCGTGGTGACACAGTGCAATGAAAACAATCTGTCTCTTAATATCGGCAAAACTAAAGAATTGATCAGCAACTTCTGAAAAAAAGGAGGAGAACACACTCCCATCTACATCAGAGGAATTGAGGTTGAGAGAGTGAAGAGCATCAAGTTCCTCTGAGTGACAATAACCGACGACTTGTCCCCGGACTTCCCACGTCAGTGCGACAGTCAATAAGGCACAATACCACCTCTTCTTCCTAAGGCAGCTCAGGAAATTTGGCATGTCCATAAGGTCCTTCAACAACTTCTACCAGATGCACCAATGAAAGCATACTGTCCGGGTGCCTAATAGCCTGGTACGGCAACTGCTCTGTCCAGGACCCTAAGAAACTACAAAAAGTGGTGTGCACAGCCCAGGCCATCACAGAAGCCAACCTTCCATCCATGGACTCCATTTACATGTCTCGCCACCACAGAAATGTGGCCAAAGACCTATCGCACCCTGGTAATGACCTCCTACCAGTGGGAAGTCCAGGACAAGTCGTTGGTTATCGTCAATCAGAGGAACATGATGCTCTTCACTCTCTCAACCTCAGTTCCATCAGGCAAAAGATACAGAAGCCTGAACACATGCACAAGCAGGTGCAGGCACAGCTTCTTTCAGGCCGTTAACAGACTGTTGAATGGACTCTAGCTTCAAATAATGTAACCTGCATGCCTCTCAGTCCTTTGGATCTGTACATCCTTTGCTTGCTGTGATCTGCCTGTATCGCTCGTAAACAAAGCTTTTCAGCGTATTTCAGTACACGTGACAATAAAAATCAGTCATATTTTGTAAGCTTATCAAACTCCAAACTAGAGTTGTGGTATTTCACATTAACTGTGTCACAGTCAAGCTGCTTGATCTAGAGCTTCTACTTTCCAGTTACAAAAAGATAGTCTTGATCCTGCTGTGGTATGATATCATGGCCAAGCATTCACTTTGCTTTTTGCATGATATTGGAGTACCATAAAGAAAAAGACCATAACAGAAATGAGACAACAAGGTGCAGGGCTGGATGAACACAGCAGGCC